TACTCTTAGTTGATCATGTATCTTTCGATACATGACTGATAAGGCAGATTTTTTTCCCGCAATAGGTTGTCATTTCTTTCTGCAGTAGACCAATTGCCATCCAAGGCTATAGAATCCAGTCTGTCCTGCTATTTACCCATAACTAGAGGGAAAAGAAGTGGATTCATACCTTTCCCAAAGGTATTAGCGCATAATCAATCCGAGCCGCTTCCATTACTCCATGGTATCACGCATGGCACATAACTGACTGATTTCAGTTACAAGCCAAAAAAATCCCTATACTGTAAGAATATTCCAAAGATCTAAATGAAATAACTTATTTAAAAATGATTTTATTGCAAAGCTCTATAATGCAAAATTAAATATGTCAAAAGAAATTTTTTTTTTGAATATCAAATAAATTTTTTTTAATGATTTGAGAAATTGAAATTAAATACTAATAACAATGTCTTTACACAAAACTTCTGTCAAAATATAACATGCTAATATTAAGCATATAGATTAAAAACACTTCCCAATAGAGAATGGATGAAGGCAAGCATAAGTAACTGATACATTTCCTTGTGCTATGAAAATAATATATTTATATCAGACAGATATGGTTGATTGTTTTACAGCTCATCAACCTTTTGCAGGTTATTTAAAGCCAGAATCTATAGGATTGTAAGAATTTTTTGGAGATAATGATTTACTGATACAACTCCTACTAATTAACCCATAGCTGGGGGAGGGATAAGAGACAGATTCATACAGTTTCCAAGAGTATTTATGTGTAAGTGAATATAATGAACCCAACTGGAATTGATGCAATTTGAAATATTTTTTTTTTTTTTAGAAATTGTTTTTGTCAAAATTTGTTATTTATATATCTAGACACATAAAAGGTTAATGATCAGAGTTCAATCAGGCCAGGAAAACAGTAGTATTAAAAAGTGCTCAATACACGTGTGATAAAAAATAACATGTTGAGCTTTTAACTTTAAAAATTAGGAGATCAACTGCTAAAAATTGCTTGAGGATATTGTAAGGTAGCAGATTCAACTGATCTCCTAATTCTTAAAGTCTGTTTATATATACACACGTACGTACGTATGTGTGTATGTAAACCATCTGTTACACCCTGCTTATTTAATTTTATGAAAACTCAAGAAATTCAATGGTGTAACAATGGTGTTTACAATAGTTAAAAGCATAAATCCCCCCCTCCCCACTTACCAAAAATCTTCTCTGAATCATGAAATAAAAAATGCAACTATGGCCTTATTTAACTAGAAAAGGCTTTTAAATACTTTTATGAACAACTATAAGGGCACTAGTCTTAAGAAAAAAAAAAAAATTTTTCAATGAATAATGAATTTTTACTAGATTTTTTTGTTTAAATTTTAATTAGAATAAATTATAAAATTTTATAATCTTTTCGTTTAAGGAGCCCCATTATTTTAAAAAGAATTTTGGATTTTTCTTTTTGTACATGTATAAAACATACTGATTTTTGTAGATACAGATGTTCATACATATTAGAAAATAAGTGATATTTATAGTAAATTTAAAGCCAAGGTATCTAAAATTCAATAAAACATTATTGGTACCTCTCTTATTTACGAATGTTATGGTATTTATTATTTTTTCATATTATCTGTTATGAAATTTTAAAATTATTTATAAAATTCTAATATAGTATCTTAAGTCTTTATTTTTTCAGAGCATCTTCAGACATAAGGTTATAAAGCTAAAGTACCTAAAATTCAATAAAGTATCAGATTGCTCTGTTAATTTTTTAAAATTACTGGGTAGCTAATTAAAAAAAAAAAAAAAAAAAAAGCGCGTTTACTTAGAATTCATAAAATTTACAGCACTTCTGTTCCTCCTTAACTTGTTGAAATGTCAATAAATCACTCAACATAAAAAAGTCTACATGGTTAAAAAGGCTATAATTTAAATTCGTAGTTAACATGGGACAAGTCATTTTTTAGATAAGTTAAGCAAATATTTAATTTAATATTCTGTAAAAAAATTAAAAATATACATTATTATTTCCATAAAAATGACATTAAAATTACTGGAGTGCATAAGTTTAAGATATTAAAAGATAAAATTAATTTTTCTGGAAAAAAATATTTCATTCTTAAAGGTTTTTTTTAAAAATAGAGCCCATTTGAGACAAAATGCACATTTTAAATTTGAACATTTCCCTGATTGGTATACAGATCAAATTCAGTTTACAATGCTTTAAAGTATTTTAATGGAGTGATTTTGCAACAATTAAGTTTGGGGAAAATTATAAAAGAAACTGGATCAAAGAATTCAAATACACATTTCATGCTTTAAAAAGCAGTCAATTCATACTATTCCTTGTACAACCCATAAAAATAATTAGTTTAAAAATATTTAACACATCCATCTCACCATGAAGCTCTTAAGTAGGAAGAAAACCCTATTTCTTCATCAAAACTTAAAAAAAAAAAAAAAAAAAAAAACAACAAATTTTTACCTAGTCGATAGATTTTTTTCTGAACACATGTTAAAATAGGGGTTAACTTGATGAACTGTTTGTTTATACTGTTTTACATTAATGGATTGTTTGTGTTTGACAGGGGTGTGTGGAAAGAAGGAGTGAGAGTGAGCGGACTGCTGCCTACCCCAGTCACTGGTAAACCTGCAGCAGTATAATCAAAGCTCCAGATCTTGACTTGACCCGATACCTACATATAAAATTTCATTAATCAAACATCATTGAAACAAAGGGCTATATTTATATCTATAGGTGAATGTATTTGGTTTGGATAGGTAAAGAAAAAAAAAATCATAGAAGAAGAAAAAAAAAAAAAAAAAAAAAAAAAAAAAAAAACAAGAATACAAAATATAGAATTTAGATGCCACTATAAAATTCAATTTTTTCTTAAAGGGAGAAAAATATAGTTATGAAATAAGAGTTAAAAATGAACCCATTCACTCTTTTGTTTAAAAAAAAAAAAAAAAAAAAAATTAAATGCATCTAACAAAATTATACAATTATGTGAACATCAGATCAATTGTAAATTCATTTCAACTTTTCACTCAATTCAGAAGTGTTATAAAAATTAAAATTTAATATATAAAAATTAAAATTTAATTTTTATGCAAATTTTCAGTTTTTATCTAGTTTTCATAAAAAAATACTTCTAGATGTGTTTATACAATTGATCCATTTTGATATGTTTTATTTATAACAATTATTCACATAAATTTTTAGCTTTAGAGTAGAATTTGGGCCATTCTTTTATAGCCTAAAATATCTTAGAATATAAAAAGCAGAAACTCCATGGTTTCTAAGTAGAATGCTGAACAATTTGAATAATCTCATTATCAAAAGATAAACTTAACATAAATACTGGAATGCTAGAATATTCAAGTTAAATCCAGTGCAGTTAAGGGCAAAATTTCTAAAATACAAACTTTTAAATATTTATCTCCCCTCAAAATTAGTCTATCCACCTGTTATTTAATAAGACTAGCATGGATTGCTAAAGTATAGCCATATACATATAAAGTATAGACAATGTAATAAAACCATGTGGTAAAAAAGGGGAGAGGGGGAGTAAGACAACATATAAAAAAAAAAAAAGAATAAAAAAAAGTCCAAAGTAAAAACTGGCTATTGATGTAAAAGATCAAAACCATGGCTATTTTTTTTAATTTTCTTTTTTTATTTATTTATTTACATTAAGACCTCATCTTTGGAGATCCAAGTACCTGGCCTGAATCAGGTACATATTAATGGTGATGCAATGATGGATGGAGACAGACTGACCTCCTGACCTTTCTCCAACCCAGTTGTGGGTAGACTGACCAATAGACATGGGCAAATATGCCAGCTAATAGGCCTTCTTCCTTCAGTGTTGATATTCTTTCTCCAACTCCTCATCCTCCACATAAAGGCGAGGAAGATGATGGAGGGACGGAGGGAGGTGTGGTGGAGATGATCATGTTCTTCGATCAACATAGTTCTTTCCCAATCTAGCTGATGAAATGGAGGCTTGGGCGACACTTGAAAGACAATCAGCAGATGAAGGTAAAAAACAATGATCACACCACCCCTGGTTGTAAAAAAATGTCTAAAAAATAAAAGTAGTATCAGGTGGTGGTGGTGATGGTGGCGTTGGTGGTGTTGGAGGGGCAAGTGTCCTGATGTAGAGTGGCACAATGTCTACACGCAGGGTAGAAGTGTCCTCCATTAGCATACAGATCACACATGCATGCACACACACACACACACCCAACCAGCAAATGGTAGAATAGACATTAAAATGTCCTTATCAACCAAGGACTGCCACTGGAGAAGAAAATTTCAGTGTTGATTCACAAAATGGACAGAAGTATTGTCATCACAGGGTTTTGCTCAAGAGAAAGTTTTTTTTTAAAGGTAAAATGTGAAGAGAGTAAGTGAAAGAATTTAGAAAGGTAATCAGAAGGGATGCTATCAAAAATAGTTTAAGTTATGTTATATTTTTAATTTTCTAACTGAACATCACAAAGCAGTATGTATACTGGCTAATTTGGTTGCTCAGGTTAAAGCAGGAGAAGGATTTATTGAACAGAAAGGGAGTTAGTCACAGAAGAAAGGAAGATGTGCACTCCTGCAAAACATTTGAGTAGAACTAAGAGAAGAAAAAAAAAAAATTATCTGCTCTGTACTGAACATGTCAGCAGATAGAGCTCAGCAGATGGAGATATTGGAATAGAGAGAACTCAGCAGATGGAGGGAGAACAAGTGTGCAAAATGTTTTAAAATAGTGAGAAACTTGGGGAGAGCAATCAGGAAGTGTTTGTATTGCGTTTCTGTCAATCTTCTAAGTTTCCCTTTTGTGAAGAACTGACTGAGAGATTTGCCTTTACCTGGAAGTCATACACACCACTGCCCATTGACCTCACTACCAAACAACTCTCACACATAAGATTTCCTGGGTGGAGGGTGGCAGCTAATAATTAATAGTGCCATTATCAGCCTGTCAGAAGCGCTGTTAGTGCGCAATGATTTGCTGGTTAGAAATGTGAGGAGAGGTAGGCGTTAAGGGTTTGTCTTCAAGTTTGTCATATTCTAGGTGAAATTCTTTGGCAACCTTTCGCCAGTTGGTGGCATCAAAGTAATAATAGGTTCCCCGTTCATAGTTGATGGTCTTGACAATTGGTTCCAATCCAGGCGCCCTAGTGATCCAAACTCTTTCCTCTTTGTGAAACCGCCAATCTCTGTTGTATCTGTAATAGAAAACATGAAAAGTATTCAGTGTAAAAGATATGGGTCTTTAATCTAATCACTTATTTGCATTAAAATAATTTTTCTTGAGCAAATAGTGTTAGGAAATACTAAAATATTGCAATACACTATATTCCGACAGATGTTATAGGCTTTGTTGCCCAGTTAAGCAATATTTAATTGCTCACAAATTGTTCTTTGAGTACTGGAATACATGATTAATAGATTAAAATTAAATATTAACAAGTGATTATAGCTGGGAATTATTCACACAAACACAAATAATAAAATATAAACTGAGGGCTCAATGACAAAGTCACCAGAGCATAAATATATTACAATATTATTAATACAATAATATTAAGAATATTATAATATATAACAAAATTCTCTTTAGAAGCAGGTGCTAAAATTTTTTTGGCCTGACCCACTTCTCAAAATCTGACCAAATTACCAAACATCATTTTTTTTTTTTTAAATATGTTCTTATTTATCCATCATCACCTTATTAACATTTTTTACTCTTGGATAGTTTTATCACTAAAACAACAGTTTTTCATTTGTAATGTTATAGTAAGAAATATAGAATTAGAAACTATTAGAATTAAAATTTTAAAAATGTAATTAAAAGCATCGCTAATCAAAAAGGTTAAGCAATAAAATTAAATAAAAATAAATAGCCTAAGTGGCACCAAAAAATTAAAACTTCACTTTTAAAATTACATATATTCCAATGTAGCATCCATGAAGATTAAATAAAAATTTAAAGGGAAAAAAATTTGCAATTTTGATCCACAATAATTTTGCACTGTACGTTATCCAGATGATACTGCAATGTCCTAGGTAATAAAACCTTTCATCATTTACTATATTAGCTACACAATTTCTGAAAGAAATTAGATTTTTTAAAATGATTCACCAATACATGGAAAAGGCTCATAAGAATATTTGCATTGTCTAAGTTCCAGCAATATATTTCTCACTGGCAGAAGTATATAAATTCAAATTCTCCTTATTTTGATTCTAAAAGGTTAATTATCACAAATGTTGTTTGGATTACCGATTTCAATTCTTTTTGTGATTACAACACAGAATAAAATCAATAGTTTGACTGTAAATAGATTCATAGATTTTTTTTTTTTTTTTAGTATTATTTTCTGAAAAGCTAGAAATCTTATTTAAGAATTTCAAAGATTTTAGGTTATTGGTACATGTTACAGCTACATGCCAATATAATTAAAAGAGGAATGTAAGGAAGGACCCAATTGTTAACTTATATTAGAATGGAGCAGGCAATAGAAACCAGATAAAATGACAAATTATTTTGAAGATGAAGGAAAAAAATTTTGTAATCTATTTATGCCAATAATTACTTATTTGCTAATCATTAATTTTCTTAACTACCATTCAAATAACAGTACAATTTTAGAAAATAATCTTCACATATTCATTAAACAAGTTTTGCAATGACCAATATATACAATGTATACTTACAGTTCTGCTGCAGCTGCTAGCTGCAATACATCTCCACCATTCATATAGAAAAGAAAGAACAGCAAATCTTCACCATATCTATTGAGTTTCACTGGTGATAGCTGTAAGAAAGCATGAAAAGGCAGCTTTGTTAAAGGCATGATGGCTAGGATCATGCTCACAGGTTTGGCTAGATGTCAGAGACAGATAAAAATGGCAAAAATGAATACAAAAAGGATTGTTGGATCATTTTGATAAAAAGAAGAACAATTAGTTGGAAAAAAATATTGAATTGCAAAAGTACTCCATCTGTTCACATATTTATATTTAACTCTTCTCAACACTCTGGTGTATGGTAAAAAATGAAAACTGTTTACCACCCAAATTATTATATATATATATATATATATATATATATATATATATATATATAAATTTAAATCCCTACCAAATCCCACTAGAGAAGGAGGCTTCAGAAATTAAATTTTTAGGAATCAATATATGACTTATTTCTATCAAGTTGTACATTCAAGATAACGAGCCATATGGCTAGTACATATATATATTTAAATTTCAGGACAATCATCTAAGGATTAGCTTATCTTTCATGTAGTGAAGTGCTATGACCCTCGAAACATTTTTTTGTACAGGCTCAGAACCCAAGAACCTCTGGTCTAAAATTATCTGTTTATATTGAGGTTTTGAGAAACATTTTAAGTCAAGAATGTGTACATCCACCTACTTGAGTAAATTATAAGGTTATTACTGGTTCTCAAATGTCTTTTTGGTCATTTGAATAAATTTTTCTTCTTCAAATTGTTAACAGCAATCTGTTTTTAGCTAAAAATATCATGTAAAGTAAATGAAAATGCAGGTGCATAAAATCAATTACTAAAAAGGACAATAAATGTTTTTAAAAATGCTAAAATGTATATAACAATACATTTTGGGATGAAATGATTTAAAATAAAAACAAAAAAAAAAACAATCATTTTGAATTATTCAGTGTAGTGTCAATTTGAAGATTTCTGTGTTTATTTCCCTTTCAAAACTTCTGCCAATAAAATTTGTTGATGTGAGCAAAATTAGCGTAACTACCAAAAATGTTTGATCTTTTACTTGCTGTATGAAGTACATATTGTATGACTGAAAAGTTATGTAGCCAAACTAGAATTTGTCCTGAATGGGCTGCTTTATATTCAGTCTTCTTCAATACTCACTCATTCATCCTATCATCCATTACATCATGTTGTCTAACAATACTGGAACAGCTTAGCACAAATCTGCACAAAGTATACTGTTCTGTAAGCAGGTACTTTTGTTACAGCTGTTTCTATTATGCTCTCAGTAGCAGACAGACAGCTCAACCAGTCAATGATAAATTCCCCATTGTTGTCCATCTTCCAGTCATGCCTATTATAACTGGACATTTAAAAAAAAAAAAAAAAAAAAAAAAACTAACAACTTTATGCAGTATTTTTTTTTTTTTACTTTTATTGCATTGTTTTAAGATTAAAGGCATATATAAGAACTTACAATATTGAATAAAATTCAACTGATCTGACATCTCCAGGGGTTTTATCTTAAAAGAAATGTAAATATTTGGTAAATCCATAATTTTATTTTGTGCAGGTAAAGGGGATATGATAACTGACTTGAAAAATATTTCTCATAAAATAACTTCAAAACATACAATTCATTCATTACTGAACAAATGATGAAAATTTAATTAAAATTGGATAATTTCCTGATGTTTTATAGATTTTTTTTTTTAATCATCCTTAAATGTTTTGAAAGTGTGAATTCAATTGTGTGTGAATTGTTGGTTGCTTGGTTAATTTTGTTTAGCAGCATATCATCCTCTATGCATATTGTTTGTACCTACAGCTAAATATATACAATAATAACCTATATATTTATTTACTTACAACAGATGCAAATATTATCAACATGCTAGGTTGGTTCTGAACTCCTGTTAGTCACAAAATGAAAGAAATTGACAAAGCAGCTGCTTGTCTATTAAATGTGTTATGTTACCAGATTTCATTATTTAAAAGATACTTTATGAATAATTTATAATTATGTTTATATGAGGCAAGAGAAAACTAACAGAAACACTTTATATTACTTTAAAAACTAACTAAAATTCATGTAGCAGTAAAATATATAAACATACATAAAAACTAAATAAGATCTCAAAACAGAACAGTCCAACACAAAAAGATCTTTTCACAGATTTGAAAAAAAAAAAAAAAAATTTTATAGCTTTTATTTTAAAATACAAAATTATTAAATCTGGAGGGTTTCTTTGGCCTTATTTTCAAACAACATATATGCAATTCTAAGCTTTATTTAGATTGTGAAAAAAAAAGAAAAGAAAAAAAAAAGTTCCTCTCGATACCAGATAAATAAACATTGGATTAAGAGATACTAGTAATAAATTAATTTCACAATTTTTTTTTTTTTTTTATTGAAACTGCAAAGCACATGCAATGCACAAAGATGAAAATTATTAAAACAATGTAAGTTAAAAAAAATAAAAATACTTCCCGATTATAAAGTTCCACAATGAAATTATTCAAATACTGTCATTATTAAACTAGATGTTTACATTTAATGAACATTTTCTTAAGTGTTTGTATGGCCTAGAGCCTAGAGTGCTGTAGAGTTAAAAGTTGGCCATACTCACTTTGTCTCGAATGTAGATGTTGGTGAGGTATTCACAAGGTACATGAAAATCTGTAAAGAAAGGCAAAAATCAAAATCCAATCAGTTGGATTAGCAACACTTTCACATTTCGAAAATAAATAAAATCAAGTTAATTTATGATGCATTCAAACTCTTCAATAAGTGAACAATGAACACTGATATATTCAACAATATCATTCAAAGGAGTAGAAAGCAAATACTAGAGCTAAATCAAAAACAACTTATATAAATTATGGGATGACTGTTTTTACCTATTTTTATAGAGACCAAAACAAAGTATTTTTATTCAGGACTTATTTAGGCGAAAAAAAAAAAAAAAACAAAAAAACAATGAGAGAAAAGGTTAAGTTTGATTTTAATTTAAATTCCTAATGTTCCAAATTGTAAGCAATTTACATGTACAGGCTATTCTGAAGAAAGTAGATTGTGAATGAAGTGTTTATAAAAGAACGCTATAGTTTTGATGTAAAGAATAACACAAGCTGTTACAAAAACAGTATTCTGACAGCAAGAGAGAAAAGGCTTTGGCTAACAAACTAACTAATTGGGTAAGAAGAAAAGGAAAATTACAAACCTATATCTTGTGGCCTGCATGGTGAATCAGCCCACGGACTTTGAAATGTACTATACAGATTTCTGTGGGAAGAAAAGAAATAATGAATATGAATAATGAAAATTATTTTACTCTTTTTAAACTATCTAGTAAATTCAATAAGGAATCTTCTCAACTTCCCACTGTTTAGAGAGAAGATGAGATAAGCGAAAAAAAAGTTAAGCATTCTAAATATAAATTACAATTTGAATTGAATAACTTAAGAAAAACATTTGGCAAACATAGATAAATGGCACATAAGATGGAGTGTCAAAAAGGACGTTTTTTTCATTGACACCACTTTAGTTACCTTCACTCATTTGGCAATGTTTGTTTTAAAAAGCAAAGATTAGAATTTTAATAAAACCTAAAAACATGAAAGGGTATTTATACATTTTTCTTTGTTTATAAGGACAAAGCTCATAGAATTTAAAATACACAAGATTGATAATTTATCAACATTTTAAATGATATTGACATAGTAATCAAGTGCCTATAACTTCAGAACTTTGTATAAAGCAAACATTAACAAATGTTGAAAACCCAGTAGATTTTATGTGACAAAATCAAAAAAGTTTTTGTGTGATGCACTTTAAAGGATGAAACATCTCACACAAAAATCTTTTTCTGCTTTGTCATACTTTTCTCCCCTAAAATTGTACTTTAACACAAAGAAAAAAAAAAAAAAAAAAAAAAAATCACCGATATTGATTTCATATTCAATCATTTGCACTTTAACATATTACATACCTAAACTTAATATTTTAGAAACAACAGGATGATTTCTATTTTCATATATATTTAATAATTTTTCATTACAAATTTAAGATGAAAGAGATTAATACAAAAACATCTTGAAGCACATGGAAACCCAGGATAAGCAATTTCAAAAAACAAGAAATTAATAAAGAAAAGAACTATCATAAAACAAATTCTAAGATACTTACTCAGGAGAGTTCATGTTAAGGCCTAGTGTTGTGAGATCTATTCCAGGAGCTAGTGCTACTAAGTTGGGGTCATTTTCGGCAGCTCTAATAAAAGTCAACAGTCCAACAATTCCAAATTGGTCTGTTACCATACCTGGGGGGATATTCGATACTGTACCTGTGTTGAAAAAAGATTTAAATATATATATATATTTTTAAAAGTGATGGAAAATATTTTTCTGTAAAAAAAAAAAAAAAAAAAAAGGTACAAACTTACTTTAAAAAATATCCTATGTCCAAATGTTGAAAACAACTATTCTTTTAACCTTTAGAAAAATGTTAGTAACAAGGTTTTTTGTTTTTTTTTCTAATATACATGTCTATTGTAATGTACATGCATAACTTAAGTCTTAGTCAATTAAATTCAATACATCAAGAAATAAAATTTTGTTTACAGCTGTATGCATTTATAAATATGTAAATACATTATTTCAAACTCAAGGAAATAGCTGTTGCTTATAGTCTATTTTGAGAAATTTCATGTGCTCATTTTAAACACTTTGATATGGTCCTTGAAATATCAAACAAAAGGACAAAAAAAAAAAAAAAATTACCATCATGATGCGTTTGAATTCCTCGATTTGGCTTACTACTTGATGTCTTTTCTACCTGGAATTTACCATCTTTACTCACTGCTTGTTCGTATGTTCCCGACACAGAACTGGTAGGCTGAAGAATTGATTAATTAAAAATAGTTTTATATGAAAGTGCATATTAATGTCATTACAAAATGAACATATCCACACATGCATAGATCATTTATTCAGAAATATTTTTTGCTTACCGTTTTTCGCGAATAATCATTTGCTGTTGTTGGTGGATCTAAGTATAAGAAAAGCACAGAATGAAACAGGTTACAAAAGAGAGAGAGAGAGAGAGAAAAAAAAAGTTGCTTTCTTACAACTTATTGAGTGTAATTCATTAATAATGGCAATATATGAAAATTTTCATTACACTACCATCCTTTCTAGGGAGAAAATTAATCATATTTTTAATAGAATTCAACAGCAAAAGTCAGTTACAGTATACAGTAAAAGTAATTTCAAATTATAGTAATCTGAAAATTATAGTGCATTAATGCATTTAATTTTAAATGTAAAATTCACTGGGATAAAAATCAATATTTAATTTAAAAAAAAAAAAAAAAAAAAAAAAAACTTTCAAAAGCTATATACTAAAATTCTAAGATTTTTTTTTTTTTTTTTTAATTTCAGTAATGTGTATCACTTATGCATGGAGATTATGCTTGTGTCAGCAACTAACAATAATTGCATTCTCAAAGGAAGTTTTTTTATTCTGATCTTGTGCTATACTTTGTCAATCCAAATAAAATCACATATTAAGGTATCATTCATTTATTTTTTCAGTCTCGCAAATGTGTATTATAAATAATAATGAATATGAATTTTCCTATATAACAAAAAGGAGAATATATATAAAAACCAAACTGTACTCATTTAAATATCAACTATATAGCAAATAGTTTATTATTCACTTATAATTCATAAAGCTGATACAGTTTAATAATTGATGCAATTTAGTTAAAACCAACTCATTAGAAAAATAAAGAGAAACACTCGGGTGAATTAAGGAAATCACTTAATGAAAACTAATGCAAAAATTACTTACATATCTCATATATGAAATGTGGCTTCAAAATGTCTCAATAAGAACTTACTTTGTGAACCTGGTAATGCAGGGAAGTCTTCTTGTTGGATCTGGAACTCTGGTGTTTGTTCTTGGACAGGTTTATTTACCATCCCAACTACAACAAAGTAACAAAATACTGTTCATATCTGCTGAAACATAATTCAATACATGCCAAAAAGAGAAAAAGCAAAGAACTGGGTCAATCTGAGATGTGCAATGATAAACATGCTTGCTCTAAAGATGGGGTCTTGAGTATTAAATATTTTCTTGGTACATTGCATAAAAAAAAAAAAAAACTTGTTTGTTTACATACCAATCCACAATTGCAATCACAGAAAAAATGAAGATAAGCAACTTTGAGTGTAAAAGAAAATTTATTCTTTAACAATCATTCATGTTTATTGCTAACTAGATTTTCTAGAAATTTTGAAGTAACAAATGAAACTTGAGTGTAGCAAAAGAAACTTAGGAACAAATCCAGAGATTTTTTTCTATAGATACCAGTCAGAAGAAAAAACAATAGACTTCAACATTCTAACAAGCTGTCAGAAATCTTAAAAGGCATACACTAAGAAACATGCACCTTCATTTAATTTTTTAAAGACAAATCAAAAATTAACAAAATGAAAATAAAAAAAAAAAAGAAAAAAAAAGAAAAGTTCAGGTTGAATAGTAAAGAATGTGCCATCTTCCTACCATAAAAAAGGAAAACTACATAGGCAAGTGGAAGCAAATTGATCTTTTTATTAACATCAACACTAAAGCATCCAAATAAGAAACATTTAACATTTATAAGAGAAATTCTTTTCCTTCATTTCACAATGAATTTTCTTTGAACAACAAAAAAAGTCATTTCTTGCACTATCCTCTCATCCTTTTCCTTATTAGTCCTTGCAAATTTTATATATGATAATTTCACTTTTATTAAAGCTTTGTCAGAAAAGGCTTTAATAAAAATGAAATGTTAGATTGATGTTTTCTATTTGTTCAAATTCTGATATGCATTTGATGATTTGATGTTCAACTATATATATATATATATATATATATATATATATATATATATAAGTTAAAAAAAATTGTTGGTAAAGGTAAAGGGCATGGTAAATCTGATATGAAACATTTTAGAACTCTAATGTTGAAGTCATCTTTTAACTAAGTTATAAAATATTGTAACAGCATTAAAAAAAAAGAAGTGATAAACAGCAAAAGACATTTTTTAAATAGTTATTGTTAACGGGAAAGAAAAAATTCAATTATTTTCAAGTTGTCCTTTCCAAATAAAATTAAATTTTTGGTGCATATTAATATGCATAATGGCTAAATATATATTCAAAATGTTTCATCTCTATTGAAGCAGAGGTTAAAAGAAAAAAAAAAAAAAAAGAAAAAAAAAAAAAAAAAAAAAAAAGGCTAAAAAATTATTTGAGCAAGATATTTCATTAAAATTAAATATTAAAAACAACCATATTGAAGTAGAATTCAATCAGGTGATGAAAAGAAAAAGGTAAACAAGAAAACTAAACTATCAATATTGGTGTCATCATGAAAGTTGTCACTAAAGAATTGAAATGGTCTAACAATAATAATGAAGCCATTTTAAGTTTCCTGATACAGAGATCAGTGACCATATTCAATGTAGTTAAAGAAAGTAGGTAAACATTAAACTTTACTCTAAAGCTTAATGCTTAACTACTTGTTGAAAAAGTCTAGAATGTTTCAGACACAAATCAACTTAATCAAAATAGAGACTATAATTTCAAAGAACAAGCAAGAAGGAAAAGTAGCTGCAACAATCAAAATCAGCAATTCCATACCTTTGTCACCTAAACCAAATTTGAAGTTGGGCTACCAAGTTCTATTATTCTCTGGCTTAAGCAGGTTCTGGATTCCCATTGTAGGTGGTTATTTTTTTTTGATCACGTGTCCATAAGCATTTTTTTTATGTTTCTAAATTGAAAATGCAAGAAAGAAATGAAGGAATGAAGAAATTGATAACTAACATGCCGTCTTACCGTAACTCCTAGCAGACGGAGCTGGGGTTGAAGGAACTGTTCGATTTCCTAAAATAGGGAATTCTGACAGATCAAGGCTGGGTTGAGAATTCTCACCGGCTGAAAATAAAACATAATAAAATGAAAGATATTTATCAGATTTTTATATCAATCATTTGCATTAAGGAAATTTTTTTGATTCAAAAGTTGTAAAATATGACATTTTTATGTAAAATCTAATAAATCAAATAAATATAAAGTACTTTTAGAGAGATGTTTCATAGCACTAACTAAACAATTAAGTAAACTTTGATAGCTAAAAAAAAAAAAAAAAAAAAAAAAACGAAAAAAACAAACTTAAATCCACACAATTTAATATTTTAAAATTTTAGAAAATATTTTTCATCTTACATCTTGACAACATCTATTTTTGAAAACTATGTAATATACTCCAGAGAATTAATCAGTACAGTGAATAACCAGTCTTCAATATCATTTAAAAAATAAGCTCAGTATTTGAGGCAAATTACAACATACTAAAACAGATACAATATTGTAATTTAGTTTGTTTTTTTGGGTTTTTTTTTAAGTCTTAAACAATACAAATCATAGTAAAAATTTATATTAAAGATATAATTTCCACTTGAAATCTAACATTTTGAATGATATATGTACACTGATGCTTTCACCAAAACAAATATTTTATAAAATCATAAAAACAAGAGAAGAAAAAAAAACAACAAAACAAAAAAAACACTGAAACATTTTTTTTTACTGATATTACCTCTTGTTTGCGATAGACCAAAACTACTAGATATACTTGTTATTGGATTACTGGAGCTACAAAACAAAAATTTTTTTATTTAAATTTAATCTGAAAGATATGTTAAACAAATATCAATAAATGTAAAACAAAATCATTTTTTTTAAATAATGATAAAAATTTTAGGTTTTTTTTTTTTTTTTTTTTTAAAGACAATCTCATATATAACTATATACAATGATTAAAATTTTTCATGTTTAACCAAGGGATGATTGGTTGGTTACAAAGTTGAGTCTGCTTAGTAACTAGTGAACCAAATCTTATAATACAGAGAATTAAAAAACAAAATTAGTATTCAAATGATTTACATAAACTTTTTTTTGCAATGAACCTTTCAGTGGGATTATAAAAAAGAAATATTATCTAGTGTTTGAGAGATTATTAATATCAGACTATGCATACCAGGCCAGATTCATTTATATACAATTATTTAATAAGTTTAAAAAAAAAAAAAAAAAAGAAATTCCAAACACCTACTTACTTTCCAAGAACAGAAGATAATGATGACCGTTTTTGTATACCTGGAAGTGTTTGGTTAGCTTGCGTAGGACCAAGAATATTTCTGTGACCCATTGTTGAAATAAGATTCCTAGCAAGACGAAACAAAGAATCGTATACTGACATTAATAGTTATTTTCAAAGTTAAATTTGTTTGAATGCTAGTTTAAATTTTTGATTTTTATTAGAAATTAGATTTTTGTAAATCTGCAGTTTCAAGATCAGATATGTCAGCTTAAACATAGATGAACTGCAATGTCAATCAGATCAAACATAGTGAGACAATGAGGATGCATTTACATATTTTTTTATGAAAACGCAATATTTTTCACAATCATTCGCAACAGTTACTGGATTTTTTCTATAACTATAAGCAACATAAAAAATTAATCTTACTAGAGTTTCTTGTACAACTGATATTATTTACAGAATTAATGACATTTTCAAGAAACATTTTCTGATTAACCATACTGCAATAAAATTGCTTTTTAGCAGCAAGAACTGCTGATTACATAATTGGCTAATTTTTACAGCTATTAGCTTTCTTTCCCCATTAAAAATGAGTATTGCATTTGAAGAAAATATTAGCTATTCATTGACAGAATCAATAACCAACTTCTTAGGCTATCAAATGCAACAGAGAAATAATTGCTGATAACTTCAAGCCAAAATATAAACTAGCAACAAAATGGATAAAAAAAATTCAGTCAGTCAGTTATGTACCATGCGTGATACATGTTTAGGCGATCATGTATCTTTCAATACGTGACTGACGAGGCAGATTTTTTCCCGCAGTAGGTTGCCATTTCTTTCTGCGGTAGACCAGTTGCCATCCAAGGCTATAGAACCCGGTCAGTCCTGCTATTTACCCATAGCTGGGAGAAAAATTACTAAATCCTTTTTTTAAAACTTACCTGCTAGGAGATGCTTGCTGTAAAGGTTGTAAACTTATAGAAAAATTAGGATTCATACTTGTAGGTGTGACATGGCCCTGATTACTTCGTGGAAACTGTGACCCAAGACTCCTTGGTGGCATTGGTGTACTAGTGAGATCTATAAGAACACAATCCAAATTAAATGTATAATTTTGGAAAAAAAATAGACCCATTAAACCATATGTGAACATTGAAGTCAACACTTAGAGCCAACAGGCTGTTTCATCCTAGACGCAATCGTCAGGCTGCAAGTGTTGGATTTTTCTTGACTAATATATATATATATATATATATATATATATATATATATATATATGGGTTAGTTGCACATTGTGGATAATCCATTCTGGCGGCTATTTTGGCAGGAGTGGCTTATTTATTTTGTAAAAAAAAAAAAAAAAAAAAACACAAGTAAAACAAATTAACCCAAATAAATAAACAAGCCACTCCCACCAAAATAATCACCACAATGGATTACCCACAATGCACCACTGACCCATATATATTGTCAGGAAAAATACAATACTCGTGGCCTGACAATTGCGTCTAGAATGAAAGAGCCTGTCGCCTCTGATGAGTGTTGGCGCTAATAATATTTATATATATATATATATATATATATATATATATATATATATATATATATATATATATATATATATATATATATTTATAAAAGATATTTCATCAGAAAACAGTAAAATGCTAAAATAATAAAAATATTAAGTTGATGCAAAATTTCCTAAGATTTAAGAATGAAAAAACAAAACAAAAAGTTAATGAATAAATACATCATTATTCAGTCAGAGTATTTTTTTTTGACTTTATACCACCACCAAGATAAAGTCTGTATTCCATCGGTAATGAACAATACTGCTGATATTGTCATAAAATTTTATATTTTCAACTTGCTGGAACTGTTCACCAGAAGTGTGTGATATGGAATAAAGTGTTATCATGCAGCAAAAGTCAATTTTCCTGCTAAGAAAAAAAAAATTATCTGCCATGCCTAATTCAAACACGCTCACATTGCACAAGAACAATTTGTCCAGGTTCCAGCAATTTTAATAGTTTTCAGAAAGCAACAACTTTTCACCACTTAAGCAAATTGCATTTAAATTGAAATTTTTAAAGTTGTCCTGGATTCAAACATTTTTTCTTCATTTTGTATTCTCATAATAAATCCATTTTTCATCACCAATGACAATCTTATTCAGTAACTTTTACATGAAAGGCAAATGTTTAAATGCTGACCAATGTTTTGGTCTATAAATTTATGAAATTTTCTGGATTCTGAATTTTTTTTTTTAATCCACGCTACACATGACCAATTCATCTTTAATATATCTGCTGAAGGTTTCTTAAATTGTTTTTATCTATCAATTTCTGCAAGTCGTGAGGTTTTCCACAGTATTCTTTGTCCTTAAGCTAAAAATCTATAAATTTTGCATATCATTCCAACATATACATCCACTGTCTGGTTTCTGGTGCACTTTCTCCTACTTAAACATGAAGAGTAAACAGTGTTTAAGGTGGATAAGTTTAAAATAAAAATTATCACTTACCCACAATCAATTTTTATCAAGTATATATGCATAAATGATAAAGAGCTGTTTAAACTTCAGAGATACTAAAATTTCTAACACTGTGCAAAAGTTGCACACTTGAAAATGTTGCATTCACTTAAGATATTAATTTTAATCACAGCATTTTGTGATATATATGACACCCCACATCTATTTCTCAAAACTACTCCACATTTTTACATGGTAATAGTCAAGATTAAAATCAACAAATTTCCTCCGCTGAGGTCCAGTACAGAATCTAACAAATTCCAAAATTTTATTTTTCCAGCATATGCTTCAATATATATTAAATTTGCTTTTATAGATTAACAGCTTCAATGAATTGTTTACTATAACAGTCCTAAAACAAGAATGAGTAACAATCTTCCTACACAGTATTACCTAACCAATCTTGGTAAATAACAATAACCTGATTGTTGAAAATATGTGCTGTAAGGATGGTTTTCCAGTCAGTCAACACATTGTTTACTTTCAAATGTTACATTTATCTAATGCAGTATAAAATAATTTGCATATTCTTTGAGAAAAAAAAATTTCTTGAATCCAATTAATATTATTGCTACATACCTGGCCAACCATTCTGTGTCATCCATTCGGTATTTGGATTGGACAGTGGCATCGTGTTTGCATATTTCACTACAGATTTAAGAGATTTTAAAACAAAATTAGAACAGAAACAAAGTGTAAAGCTGAAAAAAAAAAAAAAAAAAAAAGCAGGAATGTCAGATTAAAAATCTACAATGAAATTTCTCTTTCACACAAAACTTCATTTATTTTGGTACCTACAGCATGTACTTATGTAACAAATTCTTGAGACTAACATTAGGTCAGAATCTAAGTCCTATTGCTTGTTTTGTTATAAACTTTAAAGTTGTTATTTGATTATATACATAGTGGTTATGCATAACTTACTATTCTAATCTTCCCTTTCAGGAATATTTAATGCCAAACTGAATAATATCTGAATTAATGCAACTCATAAACCTGAGTATTCATGAGCCCATTTGAATGCTTTACGAGTTCAAAAAGGGTCAGAAGTAGTGAAGAACTATGGAAATAAATCTCAGACTTTTATTCCACATTCCAGCCACGTCAGTCAAATCTGCAGAAGAGACTTCCATGCAAAGATCAGACATTTAAGCCATTCCAAATGCTGCTTACAGGTGGTTTGGTTTAGGTTTAACGACCCATCAACCATTAGGGTCATTTTAGGATCAGTTTTTGAATTTTGGGATCACACTTTCTTAATGTAGTTTATTTGTTTTGAAGTTGGTGCACATGTTAGAATGGTTGTATGCATTAGATTGGTTGTACATATTTTTATTTTAATTAGATTTTGTTGTATAGTCCTAATTTCTTTAAATATGCCATTAAATGATCTATCTTGGTGTGTTCAAACAGTTCTTTCATTGTTTTTGTATTGTAGTACTTGTTTGCCATATTTCTAGATTTTTGGTGATTTGTTCTTCAATGCCCAGTCATCTGTATCCATTGTTTCCAGAGATTCAATCTGTTTTCAGTTGAATTTCTTGTTTTTGAAGTAGAGCGTGATCTATCCATCTTGGGTTTTTGTTTTAGTTTGTCTGGAGGGAATTTTTTTCTTTTCCTTCATGTGCTGGATTTGAAGTTTTTCCGGTCGTTTTTTGTGTAGTTGTTGTTTCTGAAGGGTTTGCATTTTGGGGTTGTGTTTTTTTGGCAGTCTATATGTATGTCTTGTTCTCCGCATCTCCCACATACCGGTAGATGTGTACAACGGTCCTGGTCGTGTCCATATATTTGGCATTTAAAACATTTCAAGGGGTTCGGGATGTACTGCTCTATTTTTTCTATATTATAGCCAATTTTTAGTTCCTTTGGTGAGGTGGGTGTATTGAAGGTCATGATGTAGATATTTGTTTCTTTTATTTTTCCTTCAATTTTAGTTGTGATTCTCTTCACTTCTGTTACTCCCTGTTTTTTTAATTCTTCTTTTATTTCTTCTATTGAACATAAAGTTAATTCTCTACTGCGTATCACACCTTTAAAAAAAATTTAACCTTTCATGAGGGTAGGCTTTAACTTTCAGGTTATGAAACCGATTCATTTTTAAGAGAAAATTAGCATATTTATGGTTTTCTATTTCAACAAGTAATGTTCCATTTCTCAGTTTTTTTAACTGTTTTGGCAGTGATGTCTTGGGTTATTACTTTTTGAATCAGGAAAGGTGACAGTGTACTTACAGAAGTTTTCTCAATTGATTCTAATACAATAAATCGGGGAAATGTTTCCTTATAATAGTTTTCATCCTTGGAGTCTAAATCCTTATGTAGTCTCTTGGAGTTTTTTTGGTAACCATTTATTGTTTTAATTTTCTTCATTATCCATGCTCCCCACCCAAATCTGAGTCCAGTTTTTGGGTAGCAGCCAGGGGGGAAACCCATTTGCCCTGGCACTACGGGGCTACATGGATAGTATACTCATATATAGGAAAGGTCTCGAGCACCCATATGTCTTTAGTTTCACTGACCAAGTCCAGAGGCACTTCAGGTAGTATACTGCCATGTCGTGATCTTTTGTTCCTATACTGATTGACCCTAAGCCACCGCTTTCCATCACATTTTAGGGGTAAGGTGTTAGTATAGTTAGTGTAGGGTTTGGGACTGGGAAAGTAAATTGTAAGTTGTAGTTGTTTTAGGATGTAGATGTGATGGGGCATGATATGACCAGCCGAGTGATCAGATCGGGCCTCTCCGACTGCCCATCTAAGGGCAAAATTGGTGTGTTGCAGGGTCGTGACCACTTTATACCTGGGTCATGACCTGCTCAACCACCAGGATCCCGTCCACAGGCATCACGGGTCACCACCTATGGCCAACAGGTGGCCCCATTGAGAGATTTTTACCCTCTGCAGGGGGGCAGTTGGCATATTCTGATGCCCCACCAACAGGGTGATGCTTACAGGTGGACTGGATGGCAATATCATTATCTCGATAGATAAATGGAGGCCTATTATAGAAATAAAGTTGTAACAGTCAATAAATGCCAGCAATGATTTGCTGTTTCATTAAGGAAATCTTATCTTCCAAGATTCCTCTCATTATGCTAAACAGAATTGAAGAAAATCCTAATTCAACAGCACAAGAAATGGTGTAACACTTTCATACAAAAGATGCTGAAAAATTATTGGCCCAATTCACTTCCTAAAATCTGATCAAACATTTTTTCTCACCAAAAAGTCCTTTGTGTGTTTATACATTACATACACACAACACACCCACAGGCAGGCAATGCAAAAAAGAATTGAAAAACATTTTGGAAAATTGTCTAAACTTGGCCAATAAGGCCCACATGATCTAATGGGTTCTGAATAAAGGATCCAGTATCTCTCAGATATACTAATTAAAACATTTTCAGAAAGTATTGTCACTAGTGATAAAAATGGGACTTTCACAATCATATTCAGAAACAGATACAAAGGTTATGACCCAAGGAAAACTTGTGCCACTATCAAAACCAAGATTATTCCCAGAGAAGTTAATACTCTGTTTGATGAGATGTAGTAGTAGTCATTTATCACATGTTAAAATGTAATGTAATAGTTTAATCTGAGAAATATAGTACTTCCAGATGTCAGTCTTTGTTGAAAAATGTTTCACTGATCAACTGAAAAGGAGTATTACACTCCATCTGACAAGGCAAGACCACATCTTTTGTTTATAAGAAAAGATTTGTCTCTGAATATGAAACTTTTAATTCATCCACCCTGCCCTCCAAACCTATTTTATTGAATTATCACCTTTTCAGACTTTTGCAGCATTTTCAATGAGAAATTATGAAAATTATATGAAAATATTTTATGCTTGATGTGATTATGTCATCAAAAATGAATGAAACTATTATCTTGATTGAATTTGTAAGTCAATTATATGCCTTAACAATAAAAGCAACATAACTTACTTTCCAGCCAAATAAATAGATATCAGGATCTTAATTCTGCAATCAGATTGTGTTATTAAAAAGTTAAAGAAAAAGTTTTTGGCAAAAATCCTGTAGCTAAAATAAGAGCAGTTTTTTGTAATTGGCTGACAAGAGCTTCTGAGATTTTGAGATAAACTAATGTAAATATTGCTATTGTCTAAAATATTACACAAAAAATACACATCAACTAGGAAATTCTTTTGACACTACTGAAAAGAAAAAAAAATAACCTTAAGACTATGAAAATCAGCAGACAGACTACATTTACTAAGCATTTAAAGCTGGAAAAAAAGCAGGAATCTCAGATTAAAAATCAAAGTTATGTTTTCATAAAGTTGGTATTAATCAACTGATGCTGATAAAATCTTCAGGATCTCTTCATGTTTCTATGATAAATGTACCATGTGAAATTCAGCTTATGCTTTTATTAGAAATAAATGCTAATAAATTTGGTAATGTGAAATTTTATTATGCAACTCAATGGCTGTTCATCATATTTCATAAATATTTGTAATCGTATAGTTACTGATATATTTTTTAATTTCAAATATAAAGATTACAATGGATAGTAATAGATAACCTCAAGAGAGATATAAGATTGTAAAGTTACTGAAGTTATTGAAAATTATGGAAAAAGCTGAATAGAAATCACAGAAAAGAAAACAAAAGAAAGTGAAAATATTAGAGAAAGAAACCAAACCTTGCACTGCATAATAAAACCTGACCCCACAAAACAAGTTGTATTTTAAGGATAAATATTAAGATGAAACTTATATAATATACTGCTCATAAGTATACATTGAAAATTTTACCAACATCAGTTGGTTAGTAGAAATTTTGTGAAACATTTACTAGCATAGCAAAATCTGAGCATTTTGTCATAACAAGATGTTTAACAGATAAAATTCAAGTAAAAATATTACATGAAAAAAATCAATTCCTACCTTGATTATAAAAATTGCCTGTAAATGGTGTCAGTTGTGATGGGGACTGTGAAGTCAGCACCTGAAAAAATACAAAATAAATATAAAAAAAAAAATAAATGCCAAATGAAAAAAAGAATCAAGATGCTAAAAATTTCATGAAATAAGTTCTCAAAACAAAGGTTCATTTCTTCTGCATTTTATATTTTAATATTAAAACTAAGAGAAAAATGCTAAAAATATTTGTAAAAACTAAAAATTCAAAAATTATGATCATATTGTATCTAATAAATAATATAAATTAAAAGTTCAATTCGTCCTCATTTCTGCATACTAATGACAAATATTACTCAATGCTTGGTTAATCAGAAAATCACCTTTCATAAAATAATTTGCTCCAGATAAAGAAAGATTTATGGTAAACTGTTTAACACACTTCAAATGCAGAGAGAGGCTCAGCAAAAAGATGCTTATTAAATTTCAAGAGGCAGTTAAAAATTGATCGAATTTCTAATTTATAGTTCATACCATTAAAAAGAAAGAACAAGATAAACAGTAGTTAAAAGATGAAACTATTTTTTAATAAACTGTCTCAAATAAAATTGTCAAAATGAACACATAATTTGGCCTCAGCAGAGCACATATATTCAAAAATGACACAAAACAGTATAATATATCCTATATGGGTTCAAGATATCTTAAACTTGTAATAAATAAAATTAAGGTTACTTCAGCAAGCATTCATAAATATTACTTGTGAAGAGTAGTATTGTTTTAAAAACTGCTTTTCTAATATTTATAACAGTTTAAATGGGTATGACCATTTACAACTAGACCAATACAAGCATACATTTGCAGTTGAGTTACATTCATGAAATACTCCAAATCAAAAGAAAATTACCTCACTATAGTATAATTGACTAACAAGGAATAAGCATTACAACACTAATTGATTTAATTTAGGTAGCTCCACTAATTCAGTATACATAAGGTTTAAAACGAATTTTTAAAAATGAAAAAGCTTTCTTGAAGCTTTCATTTTAGCTATTAATTGAAAGCGAAAGGATTTAAAATTTACTATTTTCTGTCAGCAAAATAGTCTGTGGTATATTTCAAGCAGAATTTATATTGATCAGAATTGATTATTTTTCCCCAGTAAAAATCGATAAAAATTGGCCATTTTGACAGATTTATAAACAAAAATGAATTCTTGGTTTTAAAACTCTTGCAAAAATATATATTTCTGAAACGTTATTTGAGGAAAATTAGCATATTTAAAGTTAAATTAATCTAAATAATCAAATTATTTACTTATAGCATAAAATGTTGAATACAAGCATTTCTTAACCATGGGGTCGTTTTTCTGATGCGTTGATTTATTGACAGATGATTGACCGCCAAATGCGTTTATAGTTAAGCATGGTGGAGCAAACAACAAACTTTATAAGGGAGCACAACCCTTAAAACATGTGACCTTTTAATGATAGATTTGTACATCCATACTTCAGAAATTCTCCATGTATATATGCATATAAAATCAAGATTCTTTTAAAAATATTTGAGGTCATCAGATTGTAATAAGCTTTACAATATATAATTAGTAAATATAGTTTTACTTAATAAGAATATTTCCTAAGAGTTATCACATTGAAACTAAATTTTAAAAGATTTAAAACTTTATAAATTATTCAAGTTAAAATTTAAAAAAAAAAAAAAAAAAAATGTTAACGAAACCTTCTAAAAATTCATTTTTCATCAAAAACATTTAATGAGTGCAATTCAAAAATTACAGATTAAAAACTAGAAATGCTATTAATAAATCAGCATTTCATATCCAGACATACATGACATTTTAACATGAAGAAAAAAAAAATTATTTCTAGTTATGTTAATATCCTTTTTAATACATTCTTGTATAAAGTTTTCTATATATGAATGAAGTTTTACAAATATTTCTAATTAACTTAATATGTACCTTGTTATGTCACAATAAAAACACATTTTTCTGTAATTGTTCATGTATTACCCTTTTAAATGATTGATTTTCGGAATTATCAATCAAAACTTGCACAACTGCAAAGATTATTTCTCTTTCTAATAACACCTGTTTTTGTTATTTTTTTTATTTATAAGAAAGTACTTTTAATATGTCATGTATGTGAAATGCTGATTTATTAATAGCAAAATATCCCTTCAAAATAAATAATTTTAAAAATTGCTTTTACAATTTACTATCTTGACACTACTTAATTTTTTGCACAACACCCAAAAATGTAAATAATCATGGTTGTCAAAGCCACTAATGAACCTTATAATATTATAAGGTTCATTTTGCATTCCAACAAAACCAAATTTACTTAAAATGTACTTTTCTATCAGGTCAAAAGTAAGCAGTAGCAAATTTGCACAAAAGAGAAATCTCATGCATTTTTTGAATACTTATAATACTTTACTATATTAATTATTGAAATCTTGCAACTGTACCTAAGATTTTGTACACTATATTTTTAAAGGTTTGTCTTTGGATACATCAAAAGCAGGTAAAATTTGTGTAAAAACAGTTCAGGCTTCAGTAATCACTTTAAATATTGTTTTTGATTACTGGGCTGTCTTTTGCAACTAATATGGAGGCTAATCAAAAGTCAAGAAATATGTCCACAAATACTCTTCCATGTGTGCCATGAACAAATGAGTAAACTAATCACATTTTCAATAAAAATTCACTCACTATAAAATTCAAGTCACTCATTTTATTTTATAATAAAAACAGGTTACAAGTTATTTGTGAATAATTATTAATTATATTTGACAATATTAAAGTTCAATAGCAACAAGCTTTTATAAGTGATTAAAATCAATAAAAATTCAAAAACTGAGTTTGAGAAACTTACCTCTTTCTCAGGCCTAAATATTGACGGATTCATATACATGTTGGTTTCATCATCATCTTCAAAAAATCCCTGCAAGAAGAAATGTTAAGACTTGAATACATAGAAAAAAAATGTAGCAATAAAGTTTTCAAATCATTTCAATAAATTGCTAATTTGATTCACACTAAGCTGTCATTAAACTTAATTACTTTGAAATTAATCTTTTAGTGTCATGTCCCTTCAAGACATAAAAGGCTGTTATTTTCTATTTTCCCTTTAATATTTGTGAATATTCTTGACTGATTTTGGAAAAAAATGTTTTGGAATTCAGAGTTTTCCCTCTCAGATTAGTTGTCCAAATGAGGGACATTTTTACACAACTTAAAAAGATGGATTCATGGTCCCATACCTATCAAGGGCATTAGTATATAGTGAACAGAATAGTTTCAGCTGGAATAGGAACTTCATTTTCTATACTGATAATCATTATGCCAGCTACACATTTATTATGGTCTCTAAAAAATGTTATTTTATGTCTCACAAATTAAACATTAATTTGTTTTTCTTTCAAAGTTTATGCAACTATTTAGTTTCCGAACATACATTTTATCCTAGTAAAGAGGATAGTCAGGTTAAACTTGATTAAAAAATCTTCAGTGGCAAGCATTATTTTCATTATTTGAAAAGTATAAAATCAATTGTAGACATTCTTTTTAGATAGTTTTATAAGAATGTCAAAATCAAAATAACCTTGTTCCCAAAGAATTAGGCATTGAAATGAATGATGGTAAAATATTAAAACAAGCAACCTGTAAGTATTTTTTTTAAATCCATGCTATTAGTTCATATCAAAAATATATCTACATTCTTTCTAAATATATAAAAAAATAACTTTTTGCTATCCTAGGTAGTCCTGCTAGTAAATTAATAAATGGTATTTACTATCTGAACAAAAAAGTAACTAATATTATTATGCATAATCTGCTTAGTACAGGCTGTAGATATTTATAAGCTTCCCTAGTATCTAAATTATTGACAAAGATCATATATTTTTTTACAAAATAAAAAAATATTTAATACACAGTAAACTTGTTGCATATACAAAGAATGAAAATGAAATCCTTCCAATCAGCCAATCAGCAGAAAGAAAAATAAAAAACTCACTAGTGAAGGGAGTAGACAAGTTACCTTTCTTGCCTTAGATGGTTGCTGCTGCTGAACCTGTGACTGTTGCTGTTGTGGCTGCTGCTGTTGCTGTTGCTGCTGTTGGACTGGTGCTGGTTGTTGCTGCTGCTGAGGCTGCTGTTGTTGCATTCCTATCATGCCTGGATTTTTCCTACCTCCAGGAGAAAGCTCACCAGTTCCACCTTTTCGACCCAAAGGATATCTGGGTGAGGTAACACACACATACACACACACAAAAAGGAAAAAAGGTCTATGAGTGAATAATGAATTACAAATAGATTATATTTATAAAGATTTTAAAGATTAGAAGCCCACTGAGGACGCTAAAATGACAGGAGTTGATTTCATAGTGCAAGGTAAAGATCTAGCTAAATAAAATTCAAGATTTTATTTTAAAAAAATAAGATTCACAAGAACTGGCATAGCAAGAGATTAATATAAGAATTTGTAAAGCATATGTTAGCTAGATATACTATTTGTATACATTAATCCAATCTTATTAAAACTTCAGATAATAATGCTTTACACTATTTACAAAGAATGCTTTTCATTATTTTTGTGTAATTGGAATGTCTTCCATATATTGAGCAATGAAAATATCTTAATATAAAAACTAATCCATAAAGACATTTTTTACATCTTGCTTTCAGTAGTTAACATTTTATAAATTTAGAATATGACAACCCAAGCTTAATAATTCCATTTAAATTTGAAAACATTGAAATCTTATTATTTCCTATATGAACATATTAACCAATTTACTATATATCTATTTAGTCTGCATCTATTTTCAATACTGACAAGGTAATACAATTAAACTTTTTATTCAATTTTTCTTGTATCCGTACAAATGGACAGGGTTAGGGTATAAAGTGTGTTAAAATTGTCCAAATATATCCAAGTGCTTTCGGCTATTCTATTAGCCATTATCATTTTTTTTTTTTTTAAAACTCAATATGTAGATTTTTATGTGTGTATCTATAGTGATGGGAATATTTTTTATTTTCCAAACACAGCATATTGTGGTCGTGTTTATAGATGAGATTGAGTGCTGGCTTTTTCTTTTTTATTATTAATACTTCCATTATTTTTAACTGCTTTTTTTTTTTTTTTTTTTACATGTGGAGGAGTGTGTATGTTGTGGATGGAGTTTGGTAGGTTTCTATGTGTGTTTAAATGTGTCCTAATAAGCTATGGTCAGAGAGATGTAACATGAGTCTACTTGATAAGCATGTAGTGATGTGTCCAATATAATTATTCATGAATTTGGTTTGATCAGGAACATGGTTCCTTAAGGAGCATATAAATGTATAAATAATATTGGCCCTCTGTGGAACATATGACCATAATAGTCTCATCTACATGTAAAAAAACAGATGAAAATAATGAAAGCATTAATAATAAAGAAAAATCCAAGACTTAATATCAAAACACTTGTATGAATGCAAGAAAAACTGAATGAAAAGCTTAAATCACAGTATCTTTAATGAAACATTATATAAATACAAACATAATATCTACCTCTATTTATAATAAACATTAGACAAGATAATATTTTATCATTAATAAATTTACCTAATTTTTTAAAGCCTATATTGCAGGTAGGAAAACAGGCTTCTCAAATTGTAAAATTTTTATTCAATTCAAATAAAATATTTTAAACAATTCATAATACATGCATAAATCCATGGTTACATGATTTTAGAAAGAATACAGGTGGACATTACTTATTATATTAAAGGTAATCTTTACTTTGAGACTCAAATTTGTCCTGAAGAAATTTAACCACCAAGTATGTTTCCAAACATACACACTATATATAATCCAACATGTAACTAAGTGTGAAACAATCTATATAAAAAAAAAAAATACAACCTTTATTTTAAACAATTTCTTCATTTTCATTGTGAAGTGTATATATTAAACAGACCAAGATGAATAATGTTCAGTATAAATTCTGACTTTAAAACAATTACATAAAATACTAAAACTTTAAATATAAATTTTCAATAAACCAAATGTTATACTTACTGAGCATTCCAAGAAAACTGGTCTGCCCCAAATCTTCTGTAGCAAGGGGAAAAATACTTTATTAATTATGTGCATGTGATTTGATGAGGAAGCAAAAATAAATACAAGTGAGAATATAGTCAAAAGAAAAAAATTATGAAAATGCACAGTATTATAATAATCAGATCTTCCAAAAAGCATGGGAAGTACAAATTTCAGAGTAAATTAAATATTAGATTATTTTTTTTTTAACTGATAAAAACTGAAAATGAGAGAGATTTAATTTTTAATTGTACAATAGTAAATCAAGTATAATTGTGTTTAGAAGTGAATAAAAGTTAAGCCTCATTAAAATCTACAGTAAATAAAAAGTGGAGATCAAGGTTTCCTAAATGCTACATTAGCATACCTACTTAGCATTTTCAACCTGGAGTTTTTTTTTGCTATAGTTAGTCTGTGTTATTATTGTTTACTGCTATCTTGACTTTTCTATTAATTATTTAGTCTTTCACAGGTTTTGATATATATATATATATATATATATATATATTAAAATCAGTCTTTAGAAGCATAAAATCATCAAGATGTAAAACTGAAGTTGAATAAAATCAAGAATTCACTCTCGCTTGGAAATATATTACAATTTATTCAACTTTATTTCTTTCTATGTGAAATGATTCTTGTAGTTGGAGTGATTCATGCTGAATCAGACTACAGCTCTTCTGCCAAGTAATGGCTACACTAAAAGCCCATTTTTCAACTTCATTTTAATATTTTCAATTGTTGCAAAAGACTCCAATTTATAAATGTGGGGAAAAAAGGAGCCACTTTGCAAAAGTATGCAATTCTAGCAATTCAGATGTTATCCAAGGTTGCTTGGCATGAACTATTATGAATGAAGTATTCAACATAGTTGCCATAAAGACTGATACTGGAAGCTCCAGAGTGTCAGCAGCATCCACTCACATCTCATCATTGTCATCCTCTCTCTTTATTCACCTTCTCCCCTCTGGTGGCAGTGACAGAATTGGCTGTGAAGGCCCAGGCTACTCCTGAAGAGTTGTGAGCAAGAGTCACAGGAGTGTGGGTGGTGGACTCAGCTGGGCGAGTCGGGGGCCTCCTCATGTTGACAGTTGGGCTCAAAAGTCTTGGTCCCCCCTCGGATGGTCCTATGCCAGAAGGCCGATTTGCAGTAATAGTTTCCCAGGTCTCAGGAATGTTTTCAGCTGATTCTTGAAGCATCGTTTTGGACCTCCATATAGCCTCTTGAAAATTCTCGAAATAGTGTAGATTATGTAACTCCTACCACAAACTCTTCTAATATAACATCCTCATCTTTTTGATGTGCAAAGGCTGATGAAAGAAATAAGACTACTAACATCCTTAAGAGAGCAAAAGTCTATATATCTGAATGAAAAATCACAAGAAAAGAATGGTGATTGACTATTACCAAACTATCAATTGGGTCATACTAATAGCGGTACATAGTAAAAAAGAAGATGGCAAAGTTCTGCTGCTTCAATTTCAGAAGTGCATATCACGAAATTGCTATTAAAAGAATGCAGATAACCCCACACTGCTTTTGAAGCTGACAAACATTTGTTGGATAGCCTTTGGTGTTACTAATGGTATGGGCCATCTCAGAGGATTAGCAATAAGATGTCACCATATATTGCAAAACCCAAGAAACAATTATAATTTGGAAAACTTTTGAAGACACTAAAGAAATACAATTTAATGCTTAATGAAGACAGAAGTTTGTCAGCTGATATTATGTTGCTTGGCTACCTATCTGTCAAGATTATATTAAACCAGACCTGGAACACCTACACTGACTTTTGGAACAATCACTGACCAGAAATACAACATCATTGCATGCTTACCATTACATGAGAAATTTCAATGAGAAAATTAAGCCAATTAGCATAGTCTTCTGAAATTATACAAGCTTTTCAATCTTTTGAAACAAGATATTGTAGAGTCAGTTGTAAAAGCTAGTGACGATAGAATACCATTTGTGGTAGAGCCTGATACTTCTAAATATTCCACTGTTGCAACATTGAGCCAACATTGGCAGATGAGTGACACTTTTCAAATTGATCAGTGATTAGTTATGTTTATGTTCAACAACAAAGAACAGAAAAAGATAAAGCAGTGGTGTACTGAGTGACCAGTAAAGAGAATAGTACTGCAGATGCATTTTCATGTGCTTGTGGTTTGGTTTTAAAGGAAATATACTAGCATAAATTAAAAAATCTTTTGCCTCCTGGAGCTTACAAGTATGTTGAGAGACCTCAAGCATAACTTGCTGAATGTAGTCTGAGCTTCAACCATAGTTCTTTCAACCTAGAGTACATCGTTAAGATTATGCAATCATTTGAACAGTTAAACATTGATTTCAAGGGCTCTCTAGCATCCTGCTCCTAGAGACTTGCTGACTTGTGAATGAATATTCAAGACCCCTCTTTGTTATTCAGCTTTTCTCCATTTCAGATGCTCTCATTTTCATCCATGTTGATTGTGCACATGAGGAACAATGTTTGCTTGTCAAAATATGAACCTTTAGTGGATGAGGTGAAGTGTTAGAAGCCAGTCCAAATTATGCTTATACCGCCACGAGATCGCTAAAAAAAGATCATAGCATGATGAAAAAGACGCCAAACTTGACGTTATGTTATCGTCTAAATGTTTATGTTATTATTAAGAGGAAAGATCAAAGTATTTTGGGGGTATTTTTTTACATTTTTTAATCGTTCCTAGCATGTCCAAAATTTTCCTTAAAAATCTTGTTTTTTTTTTGAGTCAGCAAAATTGACCATTTTTTTCCATTTTATAAAAAACTGGAAATCTCACTTTGAAATTCTTTTAAATATCAATTATCATTTTTTCAAAACTTATTTTAAGAAAATCAGAAATTATGTTTATTTAAAATATTTTGAACCAAACTTAGCTTAGCTTCTGCGCTGAAAAGATGTAATTTGAAAATAAAACAAAGCAGGTCATAAACTTTCGCGTCACTTGACAGGTAATGAATGACATATTGATGGATTCCATGAGGCTAATTTGTTCTACGGATGGAGAAAAGTGAAATAATTTACATTTAAGTGAACAAATTATTTACCTCATTATTTTTAAAGAAAACTTTCAGCGCTCTAATTTTTTTTTTTTTTTGTACTTAGCTTTCACCTTTACGTTTATGATGCTTTATGGAAAATATATCATAAAGAAATTAAAATAAGACTTAAGAGTGAGATTAAATTTCATATTTCATAAGAAAGGTATCTAATTAATTTATAGGTGCCTTTCTTATGAAATTTTATCAGAAGTGTACATAAAATACTATAATTTTATGTACATTTATTACATTTTACTGCGTTATTTGTATTTCCATTCATTTTATTTTTAATTTTGATATTTCATTCATGGAAAAATGTCATAACTGAGATTAATATAAAAATAAGTCATATAAATTTCATAAGATGATACTGATACTTGTAGGTACCCTTCTCAGTTGAAATTGAAAAATCAAATTAACTTCCCCACACATGTTTCTCAAAAGTAAAGGCCTTAACAGCGGAGAACAATGCTTAATTCAAATAACACAACTTAATTGTAGTCTGGTTGGTCTTCCGTACTTTATAATTACAGCCTGATTATAAACACAAAATTCCATTTAATTACTGTGGATCTTCTGATTAGTCAAAATGATACAATTTACAACTCGCTAAAAAACGATCTCATAAGGAGACTTAAGAAACCCGATGCGGCTTTTAACTGATTTTATAATATTTTAAAAAATTAAATGTAAAAATCTATTATAATTAAGAAATAACAAATAATTGTATTAAAAATTCATTTTTCATCGAAAAAATTTTTTGCTTTAAGAAAATGTCGTCCATATTCATAAAAGCAAATAAAAGCATTTGAAATTAAATAATATCTTTGTTTTATTGAGTTTTGTATGTTACAATTCAGAGCTGATTTTCAGGTGGGTCCAATTAAAAAAAAAAAAAAAAAAAACATGATTTGCATTCCTCAAAGCTTTGTGCTTTTAACTATTGTAATCACTAAACCCAATGCGATCGAATTTCTAGCGTTTTCATAAAATTAATGGGGCGGGGGGTAATAAATATTAAAAAAATATTTCTACCATGAATAAATATATATATATATATATAAATATTATTTATAATAATTTCGATCATCTGTGAATAGTTCCTGAAAGTTTAATTAACATCTGACAATTATTTATATTTTTGCAAGATTTTCCAAGTTAATGTGTCATACCAAAAAAACATGCTAAAAATTGTCTGTTATATACTAGTTCCGCTGATACAAAAAGAAAAAATGTTTTTTTTTTTAATCAAAATTTAGAATGTTCTAAAAAGGAAAATTTTTTAAAAATAGTTAAAAAAAAAAACAAAAAAAAAACTTTATTCTTTCCTCTTAATAATAACATAAGCATATAGATGATAAAATTTTGTTTTCAGCAAGGTTGGCATCTTTTTCATCAAACTATGCTCTTTTTTTAGCGATTTCGTGGAGGTACCTATGCTTATATCAGACCGACAAATGGCAACAATATCTCTTTGACATCTAGTACCTTATGGAAATCTGGAGTGGAATTTGATGGTACAGGTAAAACTGAACTTTGAGGTTAGTATAAATTTGGTCCTTGCAAAGCAAAATAATGAAAATCTTTCAAATTCATCCAAAAACCAAACTCTTGAAACCAAGATAACTATCTAAATCAAAATTAAATTAGCTTCAGTATTTGCTTTGATCCACAAGAGAGATTTTACAATACAGCAGTTTTTGTTTTTTTTTCAGTTAAAAATATTTATTTAACAAAAAAAAAAAAACAAAAAAAAAAACCTATTGTTTCTTTCAATGATGTGATTACAGAGCCCACAAATGGAGTAACAGTAGTGTCTCAGTTTCGGTACCTATTACAATAAAGAAAATAATAAAACAACATAATGAACATTTAAGTATTACTATATTCGTTCACGCTTTATCAAATACTAGATAAAGAAACGTCAATAAAATTATGGATG